TTAAACTTTTGTCCCTGGATCCCACAAGCTAATCCTTAACATTCTGCTACATATTAAAGCATCCCATGATTTTGTTGCCCTCTGCATGTTTTCCGTACTTGGTTAAAGATAAAAAAAGGGGCAATATGATGTGGAGGTGGTCATAGCTGTTTCCTTACATAAACAAACCATCCTTATATCCTAATATGTTGCAACAAGTCTAAGTATATGCTTATATTTATGGTTATTTTATATAGTGTTCATCTCTTACAGGGTAAAGGCCCTGAAAGATTTGAGTCTATTTTAGTTACATTCTTTTGCTGTCACTTTCAATATCACTTTTTTCAGCGCTCCTATTTTCTATTTTCTGATGCAGTAAAGTATGCTGTGCAATTTGATAAAATTCTTTAATATTTATCTTATTCGCTAGTACGCCAGCGAAGCGTGGGATCCACTCTCAGATCGCGTACCCGTACATACCTGGTTGCATCCATGGTTGCCTTGGTTTTCCTCCGGTCCTTCATCTAGCCTGGTAAGCTCTACGTCATATACGGCCAACTCAATGCAAATAGATCGTCTCGAGACCGTCCATTCTATTGTGCGCACAAAGCTAGCTTCCTGTCTATCAGCCTGGCACCCGAGTGACGCTTCAGCGCATGCTGTACTCTTGCCTTGGCGCGGAGTTTTTTCGCCAGGCGAAATGGCTGCTTTCCTTCAGCGGCATATTGTTCCCAAGTTAATTGTTACTCTACAGAACTTTCAGGTTTGCTTAGTTCATTTATAGTCTATTAATTATATTTAAACATAATGCATGATTAAAATCTAGGCCTCGATGATTCTCAATATTTTCTTTTCAGTTAGTATAAAATTATATTCAATAACTGACCCTAGCGGAACTCGAAATAACATTGATTTTAAATTAAAATTATAAATTTTGGCGTCATGTCTTGGGCGAACCGCCCTATAAACTCGATGAATTAGGGCTGAGTTCACTGCTTAAATTTTGCAGACATTTCGAAAGCGAGTAAGCATTTTTTACAAAATACTTCAAATGCTAAGCCAAAAATGGTATTTAGCTACAATTCTCTGTTTTTCACAACCTACTTAACTTATTTTAATGAGGATTTAGATTTATTTGGCCTCTTCACGCCCATCCTAACCCACTTGGACTAAGCTGATGCAGATATGTAGCATAATCCTTCCATAGGTGTTTTGCTGCGTTATTTAAAGTTTTTTGTGTCTATGGCATATTTATGGGCTGTGGAG